GCATATCTCCTGAGGCGCACATCAATCAGATAACTGCTGCAGCATACGGGCGCCTGGCAAACCTACGGATAGCGTTCCGATACCTCAGTAAGGATTCGTTTAAGACTCTGTACACCATCTACGTCAGGCCCATACTGGAGTATGCAGCACCAGTTTGGAATCCACACCTAGTCAAGCACGTCAAGAAATTAGAGAAAGTGCAAAGGTTTGCAACAAGACTAGTCCCAGAGCTACGGGGATTGTCCTATGAAGAAAGGTTGAGGGAAATCGGCCTGACGACACTGGAGGCCAGGAGGGTCAGGGGAGACATGATAACGACATATAAAAATACTGCGCGGAATAGACGAGGTGGACAAAGACGGGATGTTCCAGAGATGGGACACAGACACAAGAGGTCACAATTGGAAGTTGAAGACTCAGATGAATCAAAGGGATGTTAGGAAGTATTTCTTCAGTCATAGAGTAGTCAGGCCATGGAATAGCCTAGAAAGTGATGTGGTGGAGGCAGGAACCATACATAGTTTTAAGGCGAGGTATGATAGAGCTCATGGGGCAGGGAGAGAGAGGACCTAGTAGCAATCAGCGAAGAGGCGGGGGCCAGGAGCTGTGAATCGACCCCTGCAACCACAAATAGGTGAGTACAAATAGGTGAGTACACACACACACACACACACACACACACACACACACACACACACACACACACACACACACACACACATGCACACACACACACACACACACACACAGGCGCATATAACAGGAAGGGCACTGCAATGGATCAGAGAATACCTGACAGGGAGGCAACAACGAGTCATGGTACGTAATGATGTATCACAGTGGGCACCTGTGACGAGCGGGGTCCCACAGGGGTCGGTCCTAGGACCAGTGCTATTTTTGGTATATGTGAACGACATGACGGAAGGGTTGGATTCAGAAGTGTCCCTGTTTGCAGATGATGTGAAGTTAATGAGGAGAATTAAATCTGATGAAGACCAGGCAGGACTTCAAAGAGACCTGGACAGACTGGACACCTGGTCCAGCAAATGGCTTCTCGAATTTAATCCTGCCAAATGCAAAGTCATGAAGATAGGGGAAGGGCACAGAAGACCACAGACAGAGTATAGGCTAGGTGGCCAAAGACTGCAAACCTCACTCAAGGAGAAAGATCTTGGGGTGAGTATAACACCGAGCATGTCTCCGGAAGCACACATCAATCAGATAACTGCTGCAGCATATGGGCGCCTGGCAAACCTGAGAACAGCATTCCGATACCTTAGTAAGGAATCATTCAAGACACTGTACACCGTGTATGTCAGGCCCATACTGGAGTATGCAGCACCTGTTTGGAACCCGCACTTGATAAAGCACGTCAAGAAACTAGAGAAAGTACAAAGGTTTGCGACAAGGTTAGTTCCAGAGCTAAGGGGAATGTCCTATGAAGAAAGATTAAGGGAAATCGGCCTGACGACACTGGAGGACAGGAGGGTCAGGGGAGACATGATAACGACATATAAAATACTGCGTGGAATAGACAAGGTGGACAAAGACAGGATGTTCCAGGGAGGGGACACAGAAACAAGAGGCCACAATTGGAAGTTGAAGACACAAATGAGTCAGAGAGATAGTAGGAAGTATTTCTTCAGTCATAGAGTTGTAAGGCAGTGGAATAGCCTAGAAAATGACGTAGTGGAGGCAGGAACCATACACAGTTTTAAGACGAGGTTTGATAAAGCTCATGGAGCGGGGAGAGAGAGAGGGCCCAGTAGCAACCGGTGAAGAGGCGGGGCCAGGAGCTAGGACTCGACCCCTGCAACCACAAATAGGTGAGTACAAATAGGTGAGTACACACCACACACACACACACACACACACACACACACACACACACCACACACACACAACACACACACACACACACACACACACACACACACACACACACACACACAGGGTATCAACAAACTCATCAACTCAACATAATCACAGTAATGTTTGTTCCTCATTAAGTGTTAATTAATGTTTAAATGAAGTAATTATATCAGAGCCATGTTCCCGCACCTGTCATGTAAGTACTATACCAAGCGCACCTCTCCTCACCTCACCTCTTCTTTCCTCACCTCTCCTCTCTTCTCACTTCTCCTCTCCTCTCCTCACCTCACCTCTCCTCATCTCACCTCCCTCTTACTGACCAACCATATGTTTACACACGGGACATTTACAGGGTAAGAGCTCTTATCCCTTTCGTTTTATTTAAAGGTTATTAACTCATCCCAGCTCAGCTCATTTGCATGTTAAGCGCTGTTATCCCAGCTCAGCTCATTCCACCCTTCATACCTGTCTAAGGTGTACTACCTCCCGTGGGATGCTCACTGAGAAGCAACTAGCACTCGTCTGGGGTACTATTGCCACCCCTGAATGGGTCACAATGTATATAATGTATATTACCTGTTCATATAATTTTATATTGTTTATATTTGCGATATTAGTTAAATCGTAAATATATTGATTTATATTATTATTTGACTTAGTTATATTATTAGGTAGGATGTAGCATTTATATATATATATATATTCAGTGCTCATAGTTCGAGTGTTAAGTAGCTGACAGCATTGTCTAACAATCGTTTCGCTCGTTTCCCTGCCGGCTTCTCTGTGTTTCTGGGCAGCAGCAGTCCACGGAGTCACGTGATCAGGGGGGGATCACACCTCGCCTGGAGTAGTCTGTCTGGGATGTGCGGTCTCTTGTCTGTGTGATGTTCTTCTAACAAGACGTCCCACACCAGCTCTCCCTTGTGGGTACTTGTTGGAAGATCATTTCTGTCGCTTTCTTGTTGTTGGCTCTGTGTAACTCTGTTCACAGAACATAGTCTAGACTTAGTGATTTTCGACGTTGTACTGAGGTTGTGTGTCACACAGACACACTGAGAAACTCAGGTCCTGAGCTGTAGCTTCTGACCTAACATGTACTGGTATCTGTATACTGTCACAGTTGGGGATTTTCTAATGCTGAACTTAGATTCAGTAGTTTGGGAGTTTTGTGACTTTTGTGGAGGATCTGCTGATGGTCCCTACTTAGTGTCGTTATATTATCTCCTTGTTCCTGATTCTGTGTCGCTGTTTCTTGTTATATTGCTGTTCGGCTTATCAGTCATTTTATTGTTCAAGCAAGCTGTTCTGATTGCCAGGTTGGTCAAGAAGTTAGTTTATGTGAGTACTTTTAGTCAGTCACTGGTTAAGTCTAGTCGAGTCTTGAGACATAGCGAACTACTTAGAGCACTTACACACATATACACAAACTTACTCGTATATATATGTATTATTTTATTAAATGTTAACAATGTACCAGACGGTACTTAAAAGCCATAAAGATGTGATATGTACCTTCAGCACAATACTACTGTACACCAGAGAAGTGTACCAACCTTTATCCTGTATTATATTCAACTGATTACTATAATTTACTTTGATAATATACGCCTAGACAACTTAATTGTTAATAAATTTAATAAATTTTAATTTCTTTATTTAGTAGCCTACCAGTTGTAATCCTGAAGCACTACTGAATCTTACTAAATTCTAATGGATAATTGGACCAGGATACTGACTACTTGTTACAAAACCCAGTAACAGGCTGGATGCTAGAAGGGCAGTCCTTTCTAGTATTCACTGGAGATCTCTAAGCTTATTAGAAATCGCCTTTTTTGTAACAGGTACCTAGTTACTGTTGGGTAAGCAGGCACCACGGACCTACCGACATACCTACTCGCTCCAGGATCGAACCCGGATCCATCAGTTGTGAGCCGTAAATATGTAAATCGCTACACTAGTTTCTTAATGTTTGTAAACATCACAACTAAACTCCAACGTGGAAATAACTGTAAATATATTTCTATGTGGGAGTTTAGTCGTCAGATTTACAAACACGAAGAAACTAGTGCAGTGATTTACATATCCGATGATTTTTACAGAGAAAGTAGGTAATTTTTTCTAGGGTTTAAACCCCAGAAACCTGTAGGCCTACTTTAGGCCTATTGGTGCCTCTCCCATCAATTTACGAATTTACTCTGGTCTAAGGATTCACCTTTTTCTTTCTTTTTTTTTTGCTTAACAGTGTATTCACTGGCGGATTTACAAGTTTATTCGAGAGATTTGCGAGGTGATTTTCGGACTTAACTGGGTGATTTATACATGTTTATTCGATGGATTTGCGGATTTATTCTTGGGACTTCCAAGTTGATTCGACGGATTTACGGGTTCAATCAGGATATTTACAAATATATTCGAGGGATTTACAGGTTTATTCGAGGGATTTACGGTTTTATTCGAGGAATTTAAAAAATTTTTCGAGGGACTTACGGGTTTATTCCAGGGATTTACGGTTTTATTCGAGGTATTTACAAATTTATTCGAGGAATTTACGGGTTTATTCTGGTGACTTACAAGTTTATTCGTCTACACATTTTCCTATCTTAGTCTCAGATTTACCGATTTATTCTAGAAACTGAGAAACCTAGTCAAGGGATTTACTAGCTTCGTATAAGGATTTATCCTTGGTATGTCCCATTTAAAGGGGGATTTCTAGAAATTTACGAAATTTGTGTTGATAGTGATGGAGTGAATGATGGTGAAAGTTTTTCTTTTTCGGGCCACCCTGCCTTGGTGGGAATCGGCCAGTGTGATAATAAAAAAAAATATTTTAGAGATTTAATAAACCAATATATTTTAGGGTTTAAATAAACTAATAAACTAGTCAATGGATTTTCTTAACTACTCTAGGGATTTACTAAATTAGTTAGAGATTTATTATGCTAGTCTCGGGATTCATTAAACAAATCTAGAATTTGTTAAACTATTTTAGAGATGTTTTGTATTATTCTAGAAATTTATTAATCTTCTCCAGGATTAAATATACTAGTCTAGGGATTTACTAGTATATCTTAGTTATTTGGGGAGTCAGTGAGAGGATTAAGATATATTGTCTGGTGGTGTTCCTACAGGTTGATCGTGCTGGCTGCCATCTACGGTGTGGTGGGCAGCAGGGATGGCCCCGGCGCCTCGTGCTGGGCTGAGCTGAGGGAACACGTGGTAGGGTACCTGGTCATCCTGTCAGGTTGTGTGGTAGTGGAGTTCTGTATCGCTCATGTTGCCATGAAAGGTACTATCCTGGACCCAACACCACGTGCCTCCATGCAGTACCTGCTCTACGTCAGGCTAGGTGAGTCCTCCACCTGTCTTAGGTGAGTCCTCTCCTCCACCTGTCTTAGGTGAGTCCTCTCTTCCACCTGTGTTATGTTAGGTGAGTCCTCTCCTTCACCTGTGTTATGTTAGGTGAGTCTTCTTCTTCACCTGTGTTATGTTAGGTGAGTCCTCTCCTCCACCTGTGTTATGTTAGGTGAGTCCTCTCCTTCACCTGTGTTATGTTAGGTGAGTCCTCTCCTCCACCTGTGTTATGTTAGGTGAGTCCTCTCCTCCACCTGTGTTATGTCAGGTGAGTCCTCTCCTTCACCTGTGTTATGTTAGGTGAGTCCTCTCCTTCACCCGTGTTATGTTAGGTGAGTCCTCTCCTTCACCTGTGATATGTTAGGTGAGTCCTCTCCTTCACCTGTGTTATGTTAGGTGAGTCCTCTCCTCCACCTGTGTTATGTTAGGTGAGTCCTCTCCTTCACCTGTGTTATGTTAGGTGAGTCCTCTCCTTCACCTGTGTTATGTTAGGTGAGTCCTCTCCTCCACCTGTGTTATGTTAGGTGAGTCCTCTCCTCCACCTGTGTTATGTTAGGTGAGTCCTCTCCTTCACCTGTGATATGTTAGGTGAGTCCTCTCCTTCACCTGTGTTATGTTAGGTGAGTCCTCTCCTCCACCTGTGTTATGTTAGGTGAGTCCTCTCCTTCACCTGTGATATGTTAGGTGAGTCCTCTCCTTCACCTGTGTTATGTTAGGTGAGTCCTCTCCTCCACCTGTGTTATGTTAGGTGAGTCCTCTCCTTCACCTGTGTTATGTTAGGTGAGTCCTCTCCTCCACCTGTGTTATGTTAGGTGAGTCCTCTCCTTCACCCGTGTTATGTTAGGTGAGTCCTCTCCTCCACCTGTGTTATGTTAGGTGAGTCCTCTCCTTCACCTGTGTTATGTTAGGTGAGTCCTCTCCTTCACCTGTGTTATGTTAGGTGAGTCCTCTCCTTCACCTGTGTTATGTTAGGTGAGTCCTCTCCTTCACCTGTGTTATGTTAGGTGAGTCCTCTCCTCCACCTGTGTTATGTTAGGTGAGTCCTCTCCTCCACCTGTGTTATGTTAGGTGAGTCCTCTCCTCCACCTGTGTTATGTTAGGTGAGTCCTCTCCTCCAGCTGTGTTATGTTATGTGAGTCCTCTCCTCCACCTGTGTTATGTTAGGTGAGTCCTCTCCTCCAGCTGTGTTATGTTATGTGAGTCCTCTCCTTCACCTGTGATATGTTAGGTGAGTCCTCTCCTTCACCTGTGATATGTTAGGTGAGTACTCCCTCATCCCGCTCTCCTCCTTCTCTTCCTCTTCTTCTCCTCCCCTCCTGAGTGCCACTTGCAGCTACTAAGAGGTCCTCTTGGGAGTTAACTCCTCTTATGTAGTGCTCTCATCTGAACACCACTTATTGAGAGCAGGAAACACTGCCTTAATGGTCCTTAAAACACCACACACACACACACACTGACAAGGTGACAACGACGACGCTGGAAAAACAGGTGACAACGACGAAGCTGGAAAAACAGGTGACAACGACGAAGCTGGAACAACAGGTGACAACGACGAAGCTGGAACAACAGGTGACAACGACGAAGCTGGAACAACAGGTGACAACGACGAAGCTGGAACAACAGGTGACAACGACGACGCTGGAAAAACAGGTGACAACGACGAAGCTGGAAAAACAGGTGACAACGACGAAGCTGGAACAACAGGTGACAACGACGAAGCTGGAACAACAGGTGACAACGACGAAGCTGGAACAACAGGTGACAACGATGAAGATAGAACAACAGTTGACAACGACGAAGCTGGAACAACAGGTGACAACGATGAAGATGGAACAACAGGTGACAACGACGAAGCTGGAACAACAGGTGACAACGACGAAGCTGGAACAACAGGTGACAACGACGAAGTTGGAACAACAGGTGACAACGACGAAGCTGGAACAACAGGTGACAACGATGAAGATGGAACAACAGGTGACAACGACGAAGCTGGAACAACAGGTGACAACGACGAAGCTGGAACAACAGGTGACAACGACGAAGCTGGAACAACAGGTGACAACGATGAAGATGGAACAACAGGTGACAACGACGAAGCTGGAACAACAGGTGACAACGACGAAGCTGGAAAAACAGGTGACAAGGACGAAGCTGGAAAAACAGGTGACAACGACGAAGATGGAACAACAGGTGACAACGACGAAGCTGGAACAACAGGTGACAACGATGAAGATAGAACAACAGGTGACAACGACGAAGCTGGAACAACAGGTGACAACGACGAAGCTGGAACAACAGGTGACAACGATGAAGATGGAACAACAGGTGACAACGACGAAGCTGGAACAACAGGTGACAACGACGAAGCTGGAACAACAGGTGACAACGACGAAGCTGGAACAACAGGTGACAACGACGAAGCTGGAACAACAGGTGACAACGACGAAGCTGGAACAACAGGTGACAACGATGAAGATGGAACAACAGGTGACAACGACGAAGCTGGAACAACAAGTGACAACGACGAAGCTGGAAAAACAGGTGACAACGACGAAGCTGGAACAACAGGTGACAACGATGAAGATGGAACAACAGGTGACAACGACGAAGCTGGAACAACATGTGACAACGACGAAGCTGGAACAACAGGTGACAACGATGAAGATGGAACAACAGGTGACAACGACGAAGCTGGAACAACAGGTGACAACGACGAAGCTGGAACAACAGGTGACAACGATGAAGATGGAACAACATGTGACAACGACGAAGCTGGAACAACAGGTGACAACGACAAAGCTGGAACAACAGGTGACAACGATGAAGATGGAACAACAGGTGACAACGACGAAGCTGGAACAACAGGTGACAACGACGAAGCTGGAACAACAGGTGACAACGGAGAAGTAATTTATTACCTGTCATAAAATAATTAAAGAAATTTATATAAAAAATAAGACTGCAGACAATTTTAAGCTTAATGAGGAAGAAAGTGTCGCCAGGAAGACGCCCACACACGACTTTGTTGTCGTTGTGACGGAGAAGACGACCACAAACACGACTTTGTTGTCGTTGTGACCGAGACAAAATTAAAATAACCAGTGAAAAAAATATTTCAGTGAAGAACAACAAGAACGTGTCGTGGAACAAGAACGTGTCGTGGAACAAGAACGTGTCGTGGAACAAGAACGTGTCGTGGAACAAGAACGTGTCGTGGAACAAAAACGTGTCGTGGAACAAGAACGTGTCGTGGAACAAGAACGTGTCGTGGAACAAGAATGTGTCGTGGAATAAGAACGTGTCGTGGAACAAGAACGTGTAGTGGAACAAGAACGTGTCGTGGAACAAGAACGTGTCGTGGAACAAGAACGTGTCGTGGAACAAGAACGTGTCGTGGAATAAGAACGTGTCGTGGAACAAGAACGTGTAGTGGAACAAGAACGTGTCGTGGAATAAGAACGTGTCGTGGAACAAGAACGTGTCGTGGAACAAGAACGTGTCGTGGAACAAAAACGTGTCGTGGAACAAGAACGTGTCGTGGAACAAGAACGTGTCGTGGAACAAGAATGTGTCGTGGAACAAGAACGTGTCGTGCAACAAGAACGTGTCGTGCAACAAGAACGTGTCGTGCAACAAGAACGTGTCGTGCAACAAGAACGTGTCGTGCAACAAGAACGTGTCGTGGAACAAGAACGTGTCGTGGAATAAGAACGTGTCGTGGAACAAGAACGTGTCGTGGAACAAGAATGTGTCGTGGAACAAGAACGTGTCGTGGAACAAGAACGTGTCGTGGAACAAGAACGTGTCGTGGAACAAGAACGTGTCGTGGAACAAGAACGTGTCGTGGAACAAGAACGTGTCGTGGAACAAGAACGTGTCGTGGAATAAGAACGTGTCGTGGAACAAGAACGTGTCGTGGAACAAGAATGTGACGTGGTGGAACAAGAACGTGTCGTGGAACAAGAACGTGTCGTGGAACAAGAACGTGTCCTGCAACAAGAACGTGTCGTGGAACAAGAACGTGTCGTGCAACAAGAACGTGTCGTGCAATAAGAACGTGTCGTGGAACAAGAACGTGTCGTGGAACAAGAACGTGTCGTGGAACAAGAACGTGTCGTGGAACAAGAACGTGTCGTGGAACAAGAACGTATCGTGGAACAAGAACGTGTCGTGGAATAAGAACGTGTCGTGGAACAAGAACGTGTCGTGGAACAAGAATGTGTCGTGGAACAAGAACGTGTCGTGGAACAAGAACGTGTCGTGGAACAAGAACGTGTCGTGGAACAAGAACGTGTCGTGGAACAAGAACGTGTCGTGGAACAAGAACGTGTCGTGGAATAAGAACGTGTTGTGGAACAAGAACGTGTCGTGGAACAAGAATGTGTCGTGGAACAAGAACGTGTCGTGTAACAAGAACGTGTCGTGGAACAAGAACGTGTCGTGCAACAAGAACGTGTCGTGGAACAAGAACGTGTCGTGCAACAAGAACGTGTCGTGGAACAAGAACGTGTCGTGGAAAAAGAACGTGTCGTGGAACAAGAACGTGTCGTGGAACAAGAACGTGTCGTGGAACAAGAACGTGTCGTGCAACAAGAACGTGTCGTGGAACAAGAACGTGTCGTGGAATAAGAACGTGTCGTGGAACAAGAACGTGTCGTGGAACAAGAACGTGTCGTGGAATAAGAACATGTCGTGGAACAAGAACGTGTCGTGGAACAAGAACGTGTCGTGGAATAAGAACGTGTCGTGGAACAAGAACGTGTCGTGGAACAAGAACGTGTCGTGGAACAAGAACGTGTCGTGGAATAAGAACGTGTCGTGGAATAAGAACATGTCGTGGAACAAGAACGTGTCGTGGAACAAGAACGTGTCGTGGAATAAGAACGTGTCGTGGAACAAGAACGTGTCATGGAACAAGAACGTGTCGTGGAACAAGAACGTGTCGTGGAATAAGAACGTGTCGTGGAACAAGAACGTGTCGTGGAACAAGAATGT